GAACAAAACACTGTTGGATCAGTTACTTTATGTGTGCTGAAGCTTAAAAATGCTCAGTTTTCACTAAATTTGAACAGTATAGGTCGCTGGAAGACTGGGTGCTATATTTGTGGCAATACATCCAAATATACAATGACCCTGCTTTGTTTACTATCCCATCACAGTTCCTCAGGTTTTTGCCTGTAGCTCGTCCTTTGTGTTCTGGAAAAAACAAAAAACTGTGCACTGTTTTACTCTAAATTTTAGTAACTGTTTTAATGATTCTGTTTTCTGACAGCGATTGTTGTCTAATGAAGAAGAAAAGAACAAAGCCATCATTCAGGAAGTTTGTTTTATGGTATCCTTTTCTGGATTATATTAAGTTTCTTATTTAATTGTCTAATATCAAACATTCCTGAGAAACAGCTGCTTTACAGGTTCAATTCTTGCTGTATCATACACTGCTTAAAAGAACTGACATTCTGAGCAAAGTCTAGATTCTTGGTTTGTCATGAATCTGGCACCGACACCCAGCAAGTTTGGTTCTTCCAAAATTGCAGGAGTTAATGTATGCTAACTTCTGTAGCTAGTGTAGACTTTGTAATGTACTTGGTTTAGCAAGAAGTGAAATTCTTCTTAAGGTGTTGTTGTGGTCTTGTGACTGATCAAGAGACCTTTTGACTGTACTGATCTTAAGTAGGCTTCCTTCGCATCCACTGGATGTGAACTTTTTGACTACTCAAGACTTTGCTTTTACTCTCAGTGTTTCTTAATTTTTGTCTCAGATGCATCTGACTTTAAACAGTAATACTGAATACTAAAGAAGGAATTTCAGTAGAAGACATGCATCAGAAACAAGAAGCAGATGTTTCTCTGTCATTGCTGTTCTTTTTTAGTCTTCAGTGGTGTTAGGTGGTAGGGTAATGTAATCTCGGAGTGTTTTCAGTCTTTGGCTTTTGTAAACGCAATACTTGCTCCCTGGCATCTGCTGTAAGACCCTCAGTTTGTTTGAAAAGTCAGTGAGTAGCTGTAGTATGCTCTTTCGTTTAGCACTGAGGGTTCATCTTAATTTTGAGTTACCAGGCAAACCAACTGATCTTAATTTAAGCTAAAATATTTGGCAAAATCTTATACTAAACCCACTAAAGTACACTTGCAAAGAATGGACTGCCATAGCACTACACATTTTGTGATTACTCTGTCTTGCCTGGAGTAAGGAACTGAATGTTTCGATGTTTTTTCATAGCACAGGCTCATTACAGCTTATGCAAAACATTAATGAGGGTAAACTATTGATGACTTTCCAATATACAACTGTAAAATGACAAATTTATGTAGGTGTGAGTAAAAGGTTGTGAAGAGATGTGTAAGATATAAAACAGTACTTAGAATCTTTCTAATTTGGTGGATGCCACTTGCCTTTTTTTTTATATAGTTTTGCACTTAAAATATCTCTGCTTTTAAGTTTGAGTTGGTGAACACATGTAAATAGCGTGTTTGTTTTGTATTCATTAGTTTCAGTATATGATCAACATGGTGCACATTAGGGGCAATGCAAACGTGCATAATGCAACATAACTTTCATTGGTAGAAGTTGAGATCACTTTCATTTTACCCTCCTTCACATAGTTAAAAAATGATACCTTTAATTTTTTAACTGTAAGTAAAACAGGACAGAGGTTTTAATATATTACTAACAATGACAGGAAAAGTTCCTTGGTCTTTTGGAGCTTTTATTTGTTTTGAACTTTTATTTTAATTACTTAAGTGTTAAGTATGCTATGTTTCAATTTTGTTTTGGAAAGACAAGCAGTGATAAAATAGCCCTTTCTTGATCAGCCAGACAGAGAAGTAGCTGATAGTTGGAAGATCTCACTGGAATTTTTGCTAATGCCTTGCAGTCTTTGTCAAAAGGCAAAGAAGTAACTAATTATGATGTCCAGTTTCCTCAGAGCCTTAACCACAAGGAGTTTTTTTAAGGTTTTATTTTGACTTGTTATTACCTTCAGTGGCTTACCTTGAAGTCTGTTCTTGTCAGCTGAAGCATGGATTTCCCTGTTGTAATTGGAGCTATGATACTTTCTGTGGTTTTAAGCTAACATTTCAAATGAGATGTCTCTGAACTGCTGTATACCATATTATCAGTAAACTTGGCAGTCATCTTCCTTGAACATGTTATCTCCAGAAAAAACTTTCAGGTCATCCCAACATTGTCCAGTTCTGCTCAGCTGCATCTATAGGAAAAGAAGAATCAGACACGGGACAGGGAGAGTTTCTTCTGCTTACAGAGCTGTGTAAAGGTAAACTTTTTTCTTTTCCCAGCAGTTCACATTGCTTTAGACTGCAGTTTTGCACAGGTTGCTTTGCAGCTTAGAAGCTTTGAAAGCCTCTTAAAGATGCATAGTTCAATGGAGCTTGAGTTCAACCTCATCTTTTATATTGTAGGGATCATGGTCTTTGAAACTACAGTTCAGCCTCATCTTAAATATGGGATAATAGTTCTTTGTGTTTGAGAACAGTTAGAGGAAGGAAGAGGAGGAATAGTTCCTTAGAGCGTAATTTCCTTTGGCACTGCAAGAAGTGTGGAATTGCCGTTTTCAGAATATCCATATGATACTACAACTCAAGACTGTAAATATTCCTTGAAGAGAAGAGCACTTATCTATTCATGCCAGGTTTTCAGACTTAGTAGTGTTTTGTGTGTGCTTATGTGAGTTTTTCTAATTTCCTGCAGGACAGCTGGTGGAATTCTTAAAGAAGGTAGAATCCAAAGGACCAATCTCCTGTGACACAGTTTTGAAGATCTTTTATCAGACCTGCAGGGCAGTACAGCATATGCATAAACAGAAGCCTCCTATTATCCATAGAGATTTAAAGGTGTGTTACAATGTTTAAATAAAGGCTGAATTTTGAACAGCAGGAGAGCCAGTCGCTGAATCAGTGTTAAGGCTGTTAATCAAATACAGTGGAGACTCCTGAGTGTAGTGCTTACATGTATTGCCTTGCCAAGGCTGTTGGGTGCCAGCAAAGATCATCACTGAAATACTTGCATCTCTTCAAACAAGATCTTATGTGGCATTAGTACTATTTGAACAAGCTAACAGAAAGTAGTATACTGTGGCTTGATCATTAAGTTAGTCTGTAAGTAATTTGCTTTTGATAAAATAACTAGTTATGAGTTGCAGTTTTGGAGTGAGCAAGTTTTATAAATGGAAGAGGTAAAACCTTGAAGGAGAATGTGTAGTAAGCTGTTTGTTTTGGAACTAACAACTTGCATTGCATTTTAGGGCTTGTTTTTAACTTGACTTCTAGAATTTTGCAGGCATAATTCATGATAGGTTCTATGTCTTAATTTTTCAATCTGTTAGGCTTGGCTTTGATGTTACAGGGTTTTGCTATAGACAGCATTGTCCCTCTAGAAACTTGATATTTTAAAAGACTTCATCTTGGTTTGACTTTCGTATTTTGATTCACCTTTACATGTATGCTATACCTTAGATGAAGGAGCCTTAATTTGAACCTAATGGAAAGTGGTGATCTTTGTAAACATAAACAAAATAAGAGAAGATTCTTACTCTAGAAACAGATTTGTTAAAATCAGACGCTGTTTCCTGCTTGATATGATATCAGCTGAATAGAAAAAAAGAAAAATTTATTCCTAATTAAGCATGTACTCAATTACTTCAGGGAAAGTAAAGTGAAACCACTTTTTAAATGTGTGCTAAGTTTTTTCATCACTGTTGCTGAAAGCTTTGATGTTAGGCACTAGTAGAGCCTCTTAATATAAAAATAATTTTAATTATAAGAGCATTCCTGTTGTTTGTTTTTTTTGTTTCCTCCCTACCATTGAGCAGGCTTCTATGTCGTGTCAAAGAAATTTTCATCAAGTTGGGACAGAATCTTCTTGGTATTCCTGTCTAGAATGATGTCTTCTATTCTTCCCTGAAATGTCTATATACCAGCCCAAGGAAAGCTTGTAGAAAAGGTCTCTCTTATCTAAAAAAGGGATAAAAGACTATTTACAAGTTATACAATTTCTTACATAGCCAACTCCATAGCAGTTGAGCTAATGCTGTAGATCAGTCTGCCTTTTATTGTCAAATAATGTTAAGTTCCTGGCAGAGATAAAAATGGAAAAAGGCAAGAGTTTTGTTTTGTTTGCTTCATGTTACAGGTGCTGCAAAGTAAGGTGAAATTATAGTTGTGCTGCTATAGGCACCTTACTACAACCAGGAGTCAAATAGGGATCATCAACTGTGCTACCCTTTCCAGAAGGCTAGTGTAGAATTTGGGTGTAGTAGGGTGGAGTCCTAACAGGTTTTTCTCCATTATTTTGCCTAAAAAGGTAAAGATTTATTGGCTTCTAAAGTACAGCTTAAAACAAGTTCACCTTCATTGTGGTGGCTGTTTCTGTCTTCCTGTAGTTTCCTTCTCTTGTTAGTATTGTGCATTCCTTGTTTGTGAACCCCTTTAGATGAAGTTCACACCAACAGCGTGCGTGTATGGCAGTGTAAGAGCCCAGCTAGTTACAGAGTTGAAAAAATTCTAAGCCAACAGAGGGCAGTTTGTAAAATAGTGCTTCTCTGATATTTTAGTTGTCTGAGTTTGATCTTTTCAGGACTTGCTATGCAACACACAGCTTAACATATTATAGGGCCTGTTAAGATCTGAATACTCAGCTGGAATGTTTAACATTATTAAAAAACTTTACCGAAGCACGAAAACCAGAACGTATGTGCATAGAAGCTTGATCACTGGTCTTTCTGTGACCATGTTTAGTGTATAAATTTAATTAGAGGTTGAATGCTCATGCCTCTGGATGTACAGGGAGATAAACAAAGGTTATATAACAGAGAAGGGAATTCAGATTGCTCATTGAGGTTGATACTCCAACCACATCATTAACAGAGCTTATGTCTTCCTGCAGGGCAGTCAAAATTAATTTTATGCTGGAAGAAGTTGGAAGGCACATGTGTAAGTGAGGCTAGTAAGACACTCTGAAAATGGAAATTTTACATGAAGTCCAGTGGTTTTTAAAGGAAAGCAAAGACAAACCTAGCTATATGAAGTGTGGTGTTGTAATGTTACTAACATGCCTCTTAACTTTTGTACTTTTTCCTGACTTCATGCAGAGATACAAATTGTCTTTTTCAGCCCTTTTGTGGTTATGACCCAGTAATACTTCTGCCCAATACCCAATTTTCCTCTGCCTTTAAGTTTCTTCCTCATTTCACTTGGAAAGTCCAGGAAGGTTGGATTTTATGAAGTAGGAAAAGGGAGGGATGATAGTGAACTATTCAGGCAGCACATGATCCTCAACTAGCTGGTTTCTGTCTCTGCACAAGGTCACAGCTGCCACTTTCTGGGTGTTCACCACCAGCCTGCTTCTCCACTAGTACCTTCCTGTTCTGTGTCTACAGCAGTCCTAACCTCCACTCCATCGCAACTAAGCTAACAGTGTTCAGTTTTGTGCATGAAAACACTTTAATTCCGAGATAGTGCTTCTGCAAGTGGTCCTCTGAAAAAACTGACCTCTTTTTAGGTGCTAGTGAGATTATTTTTTTTCCTGAAGTTTATTTCCTGCTCTCTTGAATGCTTCCTTCTCATAGTGGTTTTGGTGTTTCCTTTTAAAAATTGGCTGTATTGCTACCATATACGTCTATAATATTGTCTGAAATATTTGTACACCTGTAAACAACATCCTGGGCTGAAGTGAGTATTTTTTATATTCACGAACAAGTTTGTTATGTTTAAAATCCTGTGTGTTAGTGTACAGAGAAAAATGTCTAATATATTATTCTATCTCTTTTTGAAGGTGGAAAACTTGCTTATTAGTAACCAAGGGACAATTAAACTCTGTGACTTTGGTAGTGCTACAACTGTAGCTTATTATCCTGACTACAACTGGTCTGCACAGAAGAGAGCACTGGTTGAAGAAGAGGTGAGAATGTTCTAGTGCAATAAATCTTAATATAATAATTTCACTGTTACTATTAACCTGACACTGATCTGTAGGACTTGAAGGACAATTGAATGTTCAGTTGTAGTGTTATTCATAAAGCTTTGGGATTTTTGTATTGCAGATCACAAGGAATACAACGCCAATGTACAGGACACCAGAAATGATAGACTTGTATTCAAATTTTCCAATTGCTGAAAAACAGGACATTTGGGTAAGAAGTTTCTCTTTGTGTCGTAGCTGCTTATCTAATAGTGAAACTGATTTTGCAGGCTTCATGTTAGTTTGTTGAGTAAATAAATAAAAGCACCAAAATAAACACAGGCTGTCTTAAGTAAAAATAAATGTAAATAGTATTAACTATGTATCTAAATATTAAAATAACATATAGTGGGTGTATATATAGTATTCAGGGTTTTCTCCCAAGTCTAGCTTGGCTTACACTGTGAGAGACAATTCTGAACTTCTTTGACATTCAGTAGAAGTGTTGCCTAGTTGGAGCTTGCCACCATAAAGCCAGAATACATACAGTCTTTAGAATCAAATTCCCTGTTATGCCCTGCCATGCATGCAATCCTGGAACAGCCTGTTGCTGAGTTTGAAATGGCTTTCTCTAGGTATTATATCTAGATAATATACCACCAAATAGCAAGCATGGGAAGGATGCAGAATTTATTCATGCTTGTACAAAAAGGATGATAAATTGTGAACATTCACTAAAGAATCAGTAGCCAGAGTTTAAGGTAAATATTAAATCCTCAGTTGTACCTCTTTGAGTTGTCATACTGTAATAATACGAAGGTGACTTTGTGCTTAGGGACTTAGTTTTTTGGATGTTTTTTACTGAGGCAGGTATTAAGCTGTTCAACTGTTACCTGTATTGGTTATATATCAAAAGACAAACTGAGAAAAAAATAACATGGAACTGTCTTAGGAAGCATAATTGATCTTGTAGTTTGTCCTTAGGATAAACAAAAGTTTACCCTAAAAAAGTTGCATTTCCTGTACTCCCCTGTGAATTAATGTGAACTATATGATGTGTCAGTGTATAAATTATGGAGAACTTTTTACCAACAGACCAACAGAAATGTACTTTCTGTACAATAATACAGAATTAATACATGCAGTTTATTTTTGGCCCTGGATTGAGAGACTCAGTAGGTGTTTTGGAGTAACTAAATATCAAACCCCTGACAGTCTTTAACAAACCTTTGAAAATCTTATTGGAATTAACTGACAATCAAGGACAGATGGTGACAGTATATGTAGAGGACTGGAGGCAGTGAACACGTTTCTTAGCTTGCATGTTCACTGGCTTGCTATATTTGTAGGAGCTGTAGAGCCTATATGCTCAAGTAACTTAAGATGGGGCTCAAAAGAAACTTTAAGTAGTGTTCTGGTCTGTTGTGCAAATATTTTCTTGGATGTATTGAATACTTCATTATCAAACATTTATGAGCGAGACAGAACTTATTTCTATGACAATAAGATTGCTGTGCTAGTATATTTCATATGTTAATTTATATGAAAATTAATTTTACATTTACTTACATAGCAGGTGGAATTATCCTAACTAATACATAAGACTTGGACTGTTCAGAGATTAGAATTCAAAACCGATTGCTCTTTGGTGGTTATTCCTTTGTCAGGCTGCACAGGTATCAAGTTTGGGCACACCAGGGAAACAAAGTTCCCAGGACGTGGTAGTCCTGGTGTTGTGATTTTTGAGGTTTGAATGAACCTGTCTGAAAATGATCTTAAATTTTACTTGTTATAAGAATTGAATAGCTTTCTGTTTGTAGGAAATTGAAACAATAGTTTAAGGCTTTTTTTCAGATCCTTCTCAAACATTTTTGGAGATTATGGTGTCTTCCCAGTGTAATTTAAACAAATTAACACTTAAATGCTTGTCTGGTGCATTACATAAGTGTGTCTTCACTAGAAATACAGAAGACTGAATTCTGTCCCCACAAATAAAATTGGTCTCCTTGAAGCATAGGATGAAGAGATGAAATATTCTGAGCCTTTCTGTGGGCAAAATCCTCTTCTTCAATATATACTGGGGATCACAAGCTGCTCATTTTTGTATACTGTGAAATCCACAGCATGGATTTATTTTAACCTAAATCTAAAGGAATCTGAAGCTGATCTCTAAAGCACTGGAAATGTGTGGAGTTGCATGAATCAGCAGTTGATGACTGCAGCCTGCCATTTGCAAGCAGTATTGGGAAGCTTAATCAATTTCATACTCTGAAATTCAAGTAACATTGCCTGAAGTGAAGACATCACAAACAGGGATAACCAACCAATGGGTTCCTGAATCAGAACATTTGTGTTTGTAAACTTTTTTATTTCTGTGATAAGTTTCACACAAAGAAAGTGGGTGCTGCAGGGCTCCCATTGTCTGTGGCTTCGGGGACCTTCCAGCTTCCTGGCGGACCCATCATGTTAGGGTATGAGAAGGTGTAGAGGTTGAGGGTAAGATGTTTCTTTACCCTTGGATCCATGGTCTTATATGAAGTTAGACCACTCCTTGTTGGAACACACTTTGTAGCAGAAGAGAAAGAGGGTGGGAATATCCTGTCATCTGCTCATGTCCCTATTAAGGGCTGCAGCTGTCAAAGAGGGGAGAACCAACAAGTGAAGCAGACACCTTCTGTTGCCACAGGCAGCCTCCCTCCCTGTCTGGGGCTCTTCCAGTGTCACACCAAGGTTATCCATTCTATGCCTCCCTGGTAAACAGGAGACCAAATACTGGGTCAAAAATGTTGGCTAATACCAGTATTACCTAATACCATGCATGCTGACATGGCCACTACCTCACTACAGCTTGTTCCAGGAGCTCAGTCCCAGGGTACCTGGTGAAAGAGAACACAGTGCTTCCTTTACCCATGCCTTTGGGGAGCTTCCAGCTCCCTGTAAGACCACCATGGGGTAGGGATTGGTGTTACCTATACTGTAGACTGTTGGCAACTCTCCAGCTTAGTGACAGAGGAAAAAGAGGACAGGGATGTGCTGTGGTCTGGTTGTTAAGCTTTCCAGGTGTCAGACTGTAGTATGAAGCAGCCACCCTCAATCACCACAGGCAGCAGCTACCTCTGTGTGCTCCGCTTGCTGCCCTTGCTCAACTTGGCTGCTGATCTGCCAGCCTGGGCTGATGCTGTCACCAACTGCTACTGCCAGCATTTTGTCTGCTGTGATACTATCTGTGTACTGTTTGCTGGGTAAAAACATGGGACTAGGGAGTGGTTGTCCCCTGTATTTGACCCTGGTGAAGCCGCACCTCTAGTACTGTGTTAAATTTTGGTCCCCACCAGTACAAGAAGGACATCAAGGTGCTGAAGTGTGTCCAGTGAAGGGTAACAAAGCTGATGAAGGGTCTAGAGCACAGTTCTTGCAAGAAGTGGCTGAGAAAACTTGGCTTATTTAGCCCAGAGAAAAGGAGGCTGAGGGAAAACCTTATTGCTTCCTACAGCTACCTGGAAGGAGAATGTAGCAAGGTGGGGATTGATCTCTTCTCCCAAGTAATGAGTTACAGGATGAAAAGAAACAGTCTCAAGTTGTGCTAGGGGGGATAGATTGGATATTAGAAAAAAATTTCTTCACCAAAAGCATTGTCAGGCTTTGGAACAGGCTGCCCATGGAAGTGGTTAAGTCACTGTTCTTGGAGGTATTTAGAAGATATGTAGGTGTGGTGCTTAGGGGACTCAGTTCAGTGGTGGACTAGTGTTAGGTTAATGGTTGGACTCAATGTTTTAGCGGGTCTTTTCCAGACTCAATGATTCCATGATTCTATGAAGTATTTCTGCCTTTCTCTCTTTGTAGGCTCTGGGCTGTATCCTGTACTTGCTGTGCTTTAGGCAACATCCATTTGAAGATGGAGCTAAGCTTCGCATAGTCAATGGGAAATATGTCATTCCACAAAATGACACTCGCTATTCTGTGTTTCATGATCTCATTCGTAAGTTTACTGTGTTACTTGATTTGGTCTCCATTGATATATCTTATTATTAACAGTGTTGTATTATTGATAACTAAATATTATTGATCTGATGTTGAAAATATAAACTGCAACAACTTATGCTAAAATTTTTAATCTATTATGAATAAAATATTAAAAGAAACATTTGTGTCTATGTGCTGTTGCCTGTGTTGCTTAGTTCTGAATTAGTTCATAGGAACAGTTAGTGTTTTGGTTTCGTTTCTTTGAATTTGCTTTAGAAAATGTATTTTCTTTAAATTTCTAATGGGTTACTGGAAACTTTAATTATAGTGCCAGAAATGTCCCCAACAGTATTATAGAGTTACTACTGGGGTTATTAATTATCTGATCCTAAAGTATATTCTTTGAAATACTATTAAGCTTAAATAATGGGGATTTTTGTTGATACCTGTTATGAAAATTATATTTGGGTATCGATTTAGCAGTTGCACCCTTCTGTTCACATGTGTATGTATTGCACTGAAGAAGCTATTAATCTCGGCTGAGAGAAGATATCTGAAGAGAGTCTGTTACATTATCTATATCTTTTTTTTTTAGGGTCTGCTTTGAAGGTGAACCCAGAGGAGAGATTGTCAATCACTGAACTTGTGAATCAACTGCAGGAGATTGCAGCAGCTAGGAATGTGAATCCTAAATCCCCCATCACAGAGGTAAAGATGTCTCGTAAGGAGTATTATTGATTAGGTGTCATTTCTTCCTCGTCTCCTTTCTTAGGCAGTGAGTGTGAGTTTAGTAACAGATGTTGGAGCAGGTCCCCTGTTCCTTAGTGTTTTGAAAAGTTCACTTTAACTTATTTTGAAATTCAACTGAATTTATCTATATCACCTATAGAATCTTTGAAAATATGCCTTCTGAAGCACAGAGCTTGCATGACATTAAAGGAAACTTGTTCTTACTCCTTGCTGAAAAATTTCTCAATCTTGAGTCATTCTTTAGTATGTAAGGGCTCTGTTTGATGTACTGCATTTAGTCATAATTAAATTGCACAGAAAAATCAAGTATATGAAGACTTTGCCTTCACTAACTTGAAACTCACTTAAATCTTGTCTTCTGCTTGATGCTTAGTTTGGACAATACTCTTAAGTGAATCAATTGGTGTGTCTTGCTGGCTTTCTCTTGAGGCTCAGTAACTGGTAGCTTTCTGGTCTTCACCAAGTAAAAGTAAGTTTCAAAGCATAACAAATTGGTTGAAGGGCCAGGAAAATTCTTATAGTGAGTATTAATCTCCTCAGCTCCTGGAACAAAATGGAGGCTATGGAAACAATGCACAGCCTCGGACATCTGTGACCTCTCTTTCACAGAGCTCCAGGCCTGCAGGACAGCTCAACAATATGTACAACGCAGGTAAGTGCAGAAAGAGACAGCATCCTAGTGTTAAACCAGTTGCATATCTTCTATGTGAAAAATCTCATGTAGGGTTTTTAGGCATTTTTGCAGACGTACTAGCTATTTTGTATTTATATCACTGCTTCTAAGCTTGCTTTATTTTTTTCATGCTTTGGTTGTATGTTGGTACATGCAAATGTTAATTTCTCAAGCTCATTGCTGGGAAAGATAGCATTCCTATGTAAAATCTTGGAAGCTAAAGGGTATTTTTCACCTGTAGAGGAAGGAGAGTTGAAATAAATAGCCTGAACCTTGATAGAAGTGATGGATACAATGAGCAGTTATGTTCTTAAGAAAAAGAGCTGTAGTGAAAGTGGTCTTCAGGTTATGACTAACAAATAAAAATGTTACTTTAAACCTAAAACTTTCTTATTCAATGAGGTAATAGTATTTGAAAGTGTCTGATGTAAAGAGGATAATTTAAGAGGAGTTTAAATTTAATTTTAAAATATTCTCAGAAGTGTTGTGTTTTAGGTGAAACCTTGTTACTGTGTGGCAGAAGTTCCTGAATTTGGTGCATATCCTGTCTGTGCACAACACTGGATCTTTGGTGTAGGAAAGTGACAGCTGCCCTTGCTTTCCAAGAAGAAATACTTAACATCAGATATGTTACAACTCAGAAAGATAGTAAACATTCTGTGGCTTTTGGTATAACTTTGGTCTGATGGTTGAGGTAATCCAATAAAGAAATGCTGCAGCAATTGCAGGGATTTTGAATACTGACCATCATAGGTCATTAATACTGAGGAGTCACTGGCCTGATGTATTTATTTTAGCCTACAACAAGCTTGTATGAGGAAGAAGTACTTCTGAAAACATTTGAGATCCACTCTCCCCTTCCTTTCACCCACACACAACCTTCCTACCCTGTGTGATAATTCAAAGTGCATATGATTGAGTGATTGTAGTCTCAAAAGGCTTGTATCTGATACCTCAAAGGTAAAAAGCAATAGCCTAAGCTCAGTTTATTGGCTGTCTAGGCACTTCAAGAAATAGCCATAGGCTTGTCCCCAGCTTATTATGGGAGGATTGTGCAGAGAGGACTTCAGAAGATGGTTGCACCATAGGACGTAGGTGGTGAGGAGAAGGAGCTGTGGCATAAACCCAGTTGGTCTAGCAGTACTAAATTGAGTCAAAGTACATTATCAAAATGACACAATTAAAAGCTGATATACCCATTCTGTAAAAATAGATATTCCAGACTTCATTTGGTTGAAGACACTTGCACTTAATATAGTGAAGACAGTTAAAAGCTTGATAGGCTTATTTGCATCTTAATAAGAAATTAAAGATGATTTCTGTACTCATCTTACCATAGGTATGTGAATATAGAACATTGCAATTAATGCAGAAGATATTGAGGGAATACTTTAGTCTGTTTTCTTTCCAGCTTGTTAATACTTGCTTGATAATACTTATGCTGAATTGCCAATGAGACAAATGGTATTAATGTGTTGTTGCAATAATGTTATTTGTATATCAATTTCTGTGTAAGAATCCAGCTTCCTAGTAGGATTGTAATCAAAAGGATGGCTGGCCATCTGTTTTATACAAGAATGAGTACCATTTGTTATATGCAGTTACTAACAGGGATTTTGTACTGGCATGCTGTGCTAGCTGGGGGGATCTGCTTGAAAAGTAACTTAATTATGCCAGCTGCTTTTGAAGCCATGCATCAACATGTTTCTAGTGGGGATGCTTAAGTAGATTTACTAATGAAAAGCTGCACTTCAAAACTGACTAAAAAAAGTATCTTTCTGCACTGGCAATGTGAAATAAATGCTTAACTTTCAGAAATTTTTACTTGATTTCCTCTTAAATACAGTCATTTAAACAATGTGTTAAGTAATTTAGTAGTACCTGCTGTTTGCAGGAAGTACTGTTTTTTGCATAGGTCATAGTTACGGAGAACTTTGGAACTGTGAGTCTTACAGCAAGGCATAGTCTGTATGTGCCTTCACTTCCAGCTTTGTAAGCAACTTGCTTTGTTGTGGAACCCATTCCAGGATATGAATTAAAGTACTATTATTTTTATTCAACTACTCTAGGCCTGACTGTGGCGGAATGTGACCAGACTTATGGAGGGTTCTTTGATATTCTGAGGGGTGGAACAGAGCGATTTTTCACTAATATTAAGGATACATCTTCTAAAGTTATCCAGTCTGTGGCCAAGTGAGTAAAAAAAATGTAAAAGGAATTAAAATTGTACTGGTAAGAGTTCTAAATGAAGGGTCAAAGCTTAGTCCAGAAATTATCAAATCCAGCATACTTTTCCAAGTATGATCTTTAATAGCTGGTAACTAGTCCTGAGATTTTATGATTGATATTTATATAAATTATTTTAGCAATTGTAAGCAACAAATTAGGATTTTGGGGACAAAAGCCTGCCCATAAGTGCATCTTTCCCTTCTGTATTTTAGCTAATGAGATGTTGGGAGAGATCAGGAGATGAGGGCTGAAGCAGGGTATAGAGGTACGGAATTGAACTATCACGGTTCAGAATTAATTAAGGCCTCCATTAATGAGAGGGGGTAGGAAAAGATGGAGGAGTGAAAGGTACAAATGAAAGGGGATAGAGGTGAGAAAAGTGCAGAGAAGTAGTGTGTTTTCAGGTGGAATCCTATGCCCTCAAGGCAAAATGAGAGGATCTGCACTGTTTGTCTCCTTTGACCTACATTGCTTGGAATAATATTCTCCTATTTTGCTGCATATATTCTGAGAAATATAGCATGTAATCACATTTTTCTAATCAGATTTTCAGTTCTATTCCAAACGTTTCTAGTACCTTTTTAATCATTATTAATCCATCTGTATGGTTTGTGTGTTTTTAGCTTGTAATAAAATTCTGTGCAGTGGAAAAGTTTTTTCTTGTAGCTCTGGGAGAAGCAGGTAAGGTCACTATGAAAGTCATGACTAAACTAGAGCCTCCTAAGGAATACCAAACCTTGTTCCTCACTGTAGGGTATGTCACCCTATCACCCTACTTCAGCTACCATGCTGTGGCTTGTGAAGTGTATTGCTTGCAACATGTTTTTCTGTCAGAGTGGAATTTGTGCATAATGCTGCTCTAAAACATTGTAATGATCAGACAAGTTAGATCTGTAGATCTTGCACCTCTGCAAACACTTCAAATGCACTTTTAGCTGCTTGCTAAATAATAGCCTGTTTAAATTTCCTGTGCGTGGCTTAGAAAGGGCAGATCCTCTGTTTAAGTCACAAAAACTGTGCATCTTTGGTTTGTCTTTAAGCTTTGTACAAAGTAGTTGGCAGAGCAGCATCAAACTTCTCACTTTAGAGAAACCACACTGACTCAAGAGAAGACATGAAGGTGTACAAAGGGAATTAACTGTAGCAGGATGAAAAGTGGTGACTTGTTAGCAGCTTAGCAGATCTGTGGGAATTTCAGTGTATGAAGTAATATGAAGAGCTACAGCTTTTAACAGCTGCTTTCCATTTTATTTCTTTGGTATATGCTGTTTTGCAGGCCTCTCTTTACTTCATTGTACCTATTACCTTCAGTGGGACTTATCTTCTGTTCTACTTCTTTTTGTCGTACCTTGTTAAATGAAATTTACTGTATGGTAAAATATGGAAATATTCTGCAGATAAATTTCCTTTCACAGTTCTACTATTTATAAACAAGAAAGTACTTAATTCCTTGTCTTAAATTCTGACAGTTTTGCTTAGATTTAAGTTTCACAGTGGTAAATTAATTTTCCTGTGTGACAGGTAGCACTTCAGTTCTTCTTAGACTGTTGTTTTAGGTGGTTCTTCATCTTTATACAAAAAAGTTGATATTGGAATGACCTGCATGTCTTCTTGCTTGAAGCCGGTGTTTGAAGCATCGAATAACATTTCATACTTCTCAATCAGATAAACTATGCTCAACATTAATTTTAGTAATAAATCATGGTTAGCTCTGAATGTAAATTTCTGCTTGAATTTTGCTGCAGCAGTGTTACTATTTGAGCTACATGGTTATGTAGTTTCCAGTTGTGCAAATGTCTTTCCAAAGGTGAAAGTAATTTTGAAATAGTGTTTATTTGGCTATTGTTTATCTCCTTTTTCAAGGCCGAGTTTTTCAGTGCTTTATTTAGTGAGACACTCAAACTTCCTTCTGGCCATTTCAATACCTCTTGAGATGTTGGGTCAATATCATTGGTAGGATTCTGATTGTTCTGTATATGTGCTGCTTAATATCCTTGCTTCTGGAACAGTTTTCTTGCCTCACCTAAAATCCTCCTTCCAGTACTTGTAAATGCAATAATTTTCTAATCAAACCTCCCAGCCTCCTTGATGTCTCCTAGCAAGCCGTAAAGAATCAAAGCAATGTTCTCTTGATATTTCAAAACTTAAGCTCAGTATCCTAAGTCTGTTCTTTCAAGCAATGTCTTGAAGCTTAATAGTGACAGAAGAGCATTACTTTGGTAATGCCTCTGCATTCCTTAAACATGCATCATAGTGTCTTGATGACACTTTGATATTCTGGGAATAATATGCTGCCAGCTTATTTAAGCTGTATCCAAACCAAATTCTGTAGGGGAGGTGTGTTCTTATTTTGCTAGTTAGCAGTGAAGACCTATGTGATTATACTCAAGGATGTTGGCCTGCACTGGAGCTCTTCAGTCTTTTTCTTAAGCTTTTTTGTCCTGCTACACAGCATGTACCCTAGAAACAATTTTAAAAACTGTTTTAAATAATAAATTGTTGTAATGTGGGTGATTAGGTAGAGATGAAGGGAATGAACATAAGTGCAAAACAAAGAAAAATAATTTTTAAAGGCTGCTCTTTAAAACTGAGCACAACATATGAGAAGATGAGTGATGGTTAATGCCTTGCTCTCTATGGGAATTTTGGAAGTCAAGTTTTGGAGGAATTATTTGAATGAGGAAAGAGATTGTGATATACTCTATTCACATTGAATTCAGAAATAGGGCAGTGTGGCCATCTGGGCCAGATAGTAATGTGCCAGAGTTAAGATAATTTGAAATGTACTGTTCCAACAAATGATTTTTATTTTAAGCATCATCATGTCCTCCATTAGCAGTGTTAATGCATCCTCATTAGGCTTTCAATCTGATACCTATAATGAATTTTCATCAGAAAGAACAAGAGCTAGAGGAATGAGTTAAACATTGAAAGTGTCTGCACAAAATCCCTAGAAATTCCTTTCTTTCAACTGATGTAAATAAGTAACTGTTCAAATACAACTATTCTGAAAAAAGTGAGATAACAAGCCTCAGGTGGAAGAAGTATTATTGATGGTGGTGGGTGTAGTCTGAGAGACCTGTGTTCTCTTAGACTTAGGCTTGAATAGTTTTAACTCCAGTATTAACTCAAATGCTTTCTGTTTCAGTTATGCAAAAGGAGACTTGGATATATCGTACATCACTTCCAGGATTGCTGGTATGATACCTATGTCTGTCTTAAGAATAGTTTGGGATAGTTTTTAATATATAAAATTAATACTTTACCTGGTGTTTGTTCTGTCTTCAGTGATGTCCTTTCCAGCTGAAGGTGTAGAATCTGCCATAAAAAATAATATAGAAGATGTGCGGTTATGTCTGGACTCTAAGCATCCTGGACACTATGCTGTGTACAATCTCTCTCCAAGAACATACAGGCCTTCAAGATTCCATAACAGAGTATGTACAGTTTTTGTATATTTCTGTAAAAGGTCTTTCAGCACAAGGTCTTGATTACGCCTTCAACTTTTTGTTATGAAATATGTTAAAGTAGGCTGCATGATAAAAATATTACAAAAGACAATCTAAACATAAGGTCAAAGAGTAACCTATATTCTGCTTGTCTTTGCTTTCAATCTAAACTTTATTGATTGAAGACTAATTGTTAATCTTACTGACTAAAGTCTGTTTGCTAGGCTAGTGATATCCTTGAAAATGTGAACAAGTACCTCACATGTTTCAAATTTATATGAAGAATACATAATTTAAAACCTTATGAAAAGTTCAGCCTCTTCTACATTTGGAGGCTTTAATTTATCAAAGGTAGTAGTACTCCCTTGGCAACTGTGCAAACTGCTTGCTGGACTTTGTCCTCATCCCACTTCATAGCATTTGACTCCCGGATGAGTCAGCCCCAGGTGACTGCTTGTTGCTAGTGCATGAAATACTAGTATAGCTTACCTGAACTTCCATTAGCCTTTCTAGCTGTTTTTCTGATACTAAAATGAAGAGATTTACCTAATTCAGTGACAAGGTAGTGAGGACAGCTTGTTAGGTGCTGAGGTACTGGACTTCAGTGTCTGCTCCAAAATACACCTCAGCTGAACAGTGCACACTGTAACTGCATTGAGTTGTCTAGCACAAGCCATATTAGATCTCACTGAAACTGTCTGTAGTGATCATGCCCCTTCCTCACAATACTGACTGCCCAGAGGAGAGTCTAGAAGCAATGTTTGTTAGAGAAAACCCCTTCTGGGTCTTATGCTGTAGAGTCCTCCTTAGCAATACTGCAGTTATCTAGGTTCCCTTAAACTGTCATGCTGAGGTGTCTAATGTATTCTATCTAGTGCTTATCACTTTCCTTTGTTTCTTTATAAACTTGTAGACAAGACGAGTATTGTTACACCTGGAAAGTGACTACTGCCTCTTTGGGTGGAGGCAATAAACTTTATCTGCATATGGTTCAGCATGAAGTTCAGGTGCAGCTCAGCATGGAAGGCAAAGCTTAATAATGCAGGAGGTTTTCTGTGATTATTTGGAGCAGGTACCTCAGAGCAAAAATTTTTGTAATGCTTTATAGTACTAGATTGCTAAAAGTCCACTAGAAAGTGAACTGATTTATTGTTCATCTTAGAAGGCTATTTATCTCTGTTTATGGAATGATAAATACTGTAAATGGGAAACTGCATGTTTTTTGTTTGAGAGTCTGAGGTGCCTATACACTGATTTTCTGGATGTATAAGTGCTGTGAATGGTAATATGAGCACAGCTAAGTCTGCTAGTGCTCTGGAACTCTTCTAGCCTACGTTTATCTTTTTGACATCTGTTTTGCCTCTTTCTTTTTTTTGGCTGGGAATTAACAGTAGATTAAACTTTTCAAAACTGCTTTATTGGCTGGGAGTATTTAAGGAGTTTCAACAAAACATTATCTTCTATTTAAAAACAAATGCACAATGGGCAGTACTGGCTGACTTAACTTCATTATTCAGTGCTGGATGAGAACAGCCATGTAGGAAGCTAAGGAAGATTAGTTTTTCTTTGGTTCTTGCAAACTACGTTTATGGTAAACCTTACACATGATTGCAGGAGAACAGCTTCAGAAATTCTTACCTACAGAGCAAAATGTTAGAATTATTTATGAAATTAAGTATTATTGCTTTCTTGCTGTGTCATCTGTACTGAATCTGTCAGACTGTTTCTTTAGTCTTTTTTTTTTTTTCTGAGCTTGGCACAAAAACGATTTCATTGAGAGGTTTTTTTTGTGATACTGAGTTCAGATAATTAATCTCAAGAGTAACTCCTGAACTTTTATCTGGGTAAGAAAGATGTTGTTAGGAAAATGATCTTCTACATACAGCAGTTGTGATCTTGGCTAAAAAAAAATAGAGAATGCTGCTTTGCATGTTTTCCTTGGTCCTGGCAGAACTTGTACTCTTTAAGTGTTAAAAGGGCTCAAGATCAGGTTTTATATACTAAGTTCTTACTGCACAGCTTAATTGAAGAATATATGCTGTCAGCCTGAAGCTGATTATTTGGTAATGTTACATAGCACTGATCACAGAAGGAATATTACTTAACTAATGAGGCTCTTTGAATAGAGGTAGAATCTTTAAACGGTTACCTTGAAAGATAAAATTAAGTCTTTCTGCTTGTGGGGTTTTTTTTGCTTAAGAATATATGCATAAATCAAGTTGAAAGCTGTTTTACTTTATTCCTTGATCTAAGAAAATCTCATGTGGCAATCTGAGCTGCTAATTCTAGTGCAGCAGACTATAGACAGGACTGGAGTTTTATTACAATTCATCCTATAAAGTTGTGCCTACACTGTGTGAAACTACTTTTCTTGAGCATATTGCTTCATTTCTGCCTGAAGGCGGCATTAAAGTGTAAAATTCTCTTATATACACAGCTTATACTATGCAGATGAATATGACTGTAATTTTGTTTCTCACCTCTGCTCTCTTTCGCAGGTTTCTGAATGTGGCTGGCCAGCAAGACGAGCACCAAATCTCCAGAATCTTTATAGCATATGCAAGAATATGCATTTGTGGCTGAAACAAGACCAGAAAAACGTTTGCATTGTGCACTGCCTTGTAAGAAATCAGTCTAAATCTGAAGTGTTTTGCTCAATCCAGCTTCAAATTGTGAATAAGGATGCTAGTACTCACTCAGTTTGTGAATATTACTGGCTTTCTTTATTGTGAGGCCTGGGGACAATTCCATCCCACTATGTCTTTTGGAAAGTTATTTGCAAAAATTTTCTCATTGGGTAAATTAGTAGGATAATGTAGCCCTTGCTTTTACTGCATGTGGCATGGAAGACAGTATTATAGGAGGGATTAAGGCAAGTAAGCCTTTGAGAAAGTCTGCTCTAGTATTTCAGTGTTTATTTTTTTGTTGGTGTTTTCTGAGTGACAGCTAGGTGTACACTGTTTCCCCCTCTCGTCCATTTGAAATCTAATACATATCTGTAGAATTGCAGAAACTATGAGATTTTTGGTGGAACTTGCTAGCAGCAGATTGCTGTGTAGCTTCCAGTGTTCTCTAATGTATCATAAAAGCAATGAACCTTTTTATCTAGAGCCATTATGTGAAACAAGAGTGGGGGAATGAATTTATAGAATAGATACTATGCTCAATATTTGAAAACATGAGGTTACAGTTATGTTTGTGTAAAAGAATTCCATGCAAAAATTTTTACATTCTTACTTTCCTGTGTAGTAGAGAGACAGGACAGTTGTTATAATGCTTATTATGCATTCAATACTAGTCCTTTGATATGATATAGTAGTCTATATGGACTATCAATATCAGAGTCAAAAAGAGTATTTGTTAATCAAAGTATACTTACAAAGTACACTTTCTTGCAAGTCAAAAGTAATTTAATGCCAGCTCCTGAAAACTCATGGGATTTTCAGTGCTGCTTTGAGGTTAGGAATCTAATTCTATATTAAAGTTACACTTACAGTATCTCAGTATCACATGATTGCTGGTTAACTAGTTAAGAAGCAGATATAAAGAATTAACACCAGATTTTGTAACATCTTTCCCTTAAAGTGTTTCCTTTAAAGTACCTAACTCATTCCATTTTCTCAGGGGTAAGGGAAGCCTGTATATGTATGGCTGTAGCAGATGGGATGTGAAGAATCTGTACCAGAACTACTCAAAATGAGTGATAGGTGCAATCTGTCTTGGATTCATCTAGCTGGAAATTTCTTTAGACTTAAAAGCTAGGAAATACAGGTTCAGAATAATGCTTTATCTGGTAGAGAATGTTTTATTCTGATATACTTTTTTGGATAACAAAATAGGAGAGTTGCTTCTGCCTCTAGGTGGTTGGGATTCAGAACCAGGTAGGGCTTCCCAGTCTTGTAATTTTTATTGTTGAGGTTTGAAATCATACCCTGAATTGTTGAATTTTTACACTAATTTGAGTGATCTGTTTGAAAACAAGCAGTGGGAAACAAGATTTAAATGGCAGCTCCCTGCTTCAGCTACAGTTAAGTCTTTCTGGACTGGCAGTAACTGGAATCTGTTTATAACTGGCATCCTTTTCTGTTGATGATGCAAGACTAGCACATATGCTGCAGGCTGGAGTAACTCCTGGACATCTGGAGTAACATTGCCCTGCATAATTATTTGGGCCATGCAGTGATGGTCATCCTTGAAAACTTGCACAGGTGTGACTACAAGATCATCACAGTGAGACTTAATGGCAGTCACTTGAATATACTGCAGCTCTTGAGGTGTGCTTAGGTGTTTCTTTAGATAGCTATATTTTACCTGTGTGTAAATGAACCATGTTAACATAATTATACACACACTAGGAAAAGTTGTATTAAATGTCTTTAATAGAGGTTACTTATTTTCAAAATAGTTGAGAGCCAGGCCTCCTCTATCTAGCTTTTTGAAGCTTTAGGACAAAACAAGATACTTGACATCTTTTTCCAATCATAGTTGTTTTATTGCTGTGTTAATAATTGTTTATGCCTGAGGACTGCATATTTTTATAGCCAAAAATCCATCCTTGTTAAAACATACAAGGAAAAATTGAAATTCTTACATTAATCTCCATATGAGTGTTTCTTTTGGTCCCATTTTGCAAATTACTAAGTTTCTTTCTGAAGTGCAAGGTTCTGCCATTGGCTTTGTTTACTATTTAATAAGGTATTCTAAATTTTGAATGCTGTATTTCTGTTGTAAAGTGGTCTTTACAGTCTTGTGAAGTTGTCCTCTGTGCCACAGTTGCAAGGTGTTCACTGTAACTTGCAGACTTTGTAGAATGATTTTTTTTTCTTCCCTCAGTGTGGTGCTTTAATTTGGAAGTGGCTTTGTAGTGCAAGTGTACGAAGGTCACTGCTTCTCATGCTGATCAGTGTTTCACTCTTCCTTTGTATTCATTAATGTTTTGTCTTAAATGGAGGTGTCTCAGGGTTTTTTGTTCTATTTGTGTGAAATTTGACTGAAAGAGTCCAACCCATAGACTAGTTTAGTTTAGAAGCAACTTTGGGAAATAATTTGACTTGCTTGTTACACTAGCAGTAATAATATTGATTTGCTAAATTGCTCTTTGAAGATCTGGCTTTTATGGTGCCGATAGACCTTTTTGATGTAAGTAGTGGTTAGGATAGAAGCCTGGATTTGAAGGAAATGCTTGTGTCCTGGTTTAAGCCAGGGTGAAGCCTATTTTCCTTTTACTGATTAAAACAAGTTGAGGATCTTCCCCACTCCCCACTCATATACCAAATGACTACAAAAAAAATCTGTTCTATATTGGTAGCAAAAAGCTTGAGAGATCCTGTCCCATGAACCATTGCCACTTCTGAATCTTCTTTATAATGTAGGGGTGAAGTTGGGATGTGTGTAGCCATGGTCTCTGTAGAAAGAGGTGTTCAGTATTTTAATTTCCTTCTCTTAGTTCAGTGGCAAGCTGCTAAGCTTAGGCAGTTCTAGTCAGAAAACTATAAACTTCACTGTGGCATAGATTTCTTAATCTTAGGACTTCTGCTATAGCAGAAGTCTATGGTTGTAAGTCACTGAGCTGGTGTTTTAGGTAGCAGCTGGGAAACAAACTTAAAAATGGCTATTAGTGATAATAAGGTAATTGAAATTGAATCCAGTTGAAATAAACCAGTGTTAAGCTAAAGCAATTATTCACACTTGAGTAAGAAGATAATATGTAGTATCTTTTGTATTTTGTGGAAATCAAGACATTTCACATTCAGATACAAACTTCAAATCTAATGATAATACCAGAATTCAGACTTCTTTATATTAAATAAGGACATAGCATGTTTTTCAGTAGCTTCTGTAGTACTTTTCCCACTAGGTTTAATAACAAAGATACAATTTTTCTTTGTAGGATGGAAGAGCAGCATCTGCTGTTGTAGTTTGTTCTTTTCTGTGTTTCTGTCGTCTCTTCACTACTGCTGAAGCTGCAGTTTATATGTTCAGTATGAAACGCTGTCCTCCTGGCATTTGGCCTTCTCATAAAAGGTATGATACCTGTCTGGAGTACTGATGAAGAAAGCAGTTGTTCTAGCAATTGTGAATACGGTGCCATTTTTAAAGGACGCTTTTTAGGAAGATGAACTATTTCAGTAGTGTCTGTGTTAATGCAGCAAAATACTTGAAAAAAACAGATGTGTTATGAGACAGTAGTTCTGATTTTTGAGCCCTTAAGCTACTCATGATATTCTTATTAGAAGTGAGTCAGGTATGGCCCATAGTGAAGAACTAAGCCAGGAATACAAGCAAGAGTATGCAGAGCTTTTCACTGTACTCTGAAATATAAAATCTTCTTCCACATGTAAGACCTAGTCCATGTTTACTAGGTTATTACAATAGGTTTTGTGGTGTCTAAATACTGCAGGTTCTTCAGTCCTTCTTCAGTCTTCTGTTTAGTTAAGAATTCCTTCTTTTTAAAGGAGTGCATGCAGAAGTGACTTTCCTGTGCTTTCAAGAATGTTTAAAACTCATCTGTTTGTTTTAATATGATACATCTTATAAAAAAGGCTCAGTAGCAACTGACACTGGTAGTAAGGGTGTTTCCTACAAAAAAGATTAGATTTAGAAAGGTGAGAAGTAAGGATTAGTTAAGTATAAATGACAGATTGTTATACAGACTTACTATGAGTATTTTTAATGGGTTCTCTACAAGATAACTTATATTAATGAGAATACATGTTAAGCCTTAGGGAGGCTTTGAGTTGCTAGCTTCAGAACTGCTGTGCGTCCTTCATCCAATGTGTAAGATACAAAATAAAAATTTCTTCTGCTTTGCTGTTTTGATGCCTTTGAAAAGTGTGGATAGTTTGTTTTACAAATAAGTATATGTAAAGCTACAAACCTAAGAAAATGTCTGGAGTTGTCTGGAAGGTGTGACACAGGTACAGATGAGTTCATATGCAGTACTGTATTAATTTTTCTGGACAGTGTATTTCCTGTTGTGATGCAACCATCAGGCTTTTGCACAGAAACTGTGCTGCTATTCTTAAATTGAAAGGCTAGCTAGGGATCTTAATATATTCTCCATCTTTCCATTTCCATTTTCCTCTTCTGAATTTGTATCAGATTTGAAAATCTCTTTGCTGGAAGTGCTGTGAAGTGTTTCCCGTGTTTTATTGTTACAATTTGTCACTACTCAGTGGCTGGTTATGAACAGAAGTGTAACTCCCATATGTGTTCACCCATTTTTAGAATTTGATTCTCTGACTAAATTGATTTCTTTTGGTTTGGCAGATACATTGAATACATGTGTGACATGATGGCTGAAGAACCCATTATTCCTCACAGCAAGCCCATCCTTGTCAGATCAATCATCATGACCCCCGTTCCTCTTTTCAGTAAGCAGCGTAATGGTTGCAGACCTTTTTGTGAAGTTTATGTGGGAGATGAGAGAGTGGCCACTACCTCCCAGGAATACGACAAAATGAAGTAAGTACAGGTTATGATTTGCTCTGAAGCAGCGCATTGTTTTTCTAAACTAACTTAAGTCCTTACTGTGAGGAGAGCATGATTTTGTATGTGCTAGTTAAACAGAATACTGCTTTAAGGTTTTGGAACAGCTGCTGTCTTTTAGGTGATCTTGAAAGGTAAATCATGGGGAAGAGATGATGTGATTATAAAAGCAGTTTGGACCTGTTAGTGCAGATAGTGGGGATGGTGTTGGGGTGCCACAGTGGACATGGGAGGCAGAGGGGAGCAAGACCTGCTTTCCTCTCACTCCAGGTATTATAAGCTAGGAACACTGATCCATGGTGTACATGCATCAAACTGAAAATCATGTCTCAGTCAAGGGCACAGTAGGGATCCCCCTAAGACATGGTAGCTTTAAGGGGTGTGCTTATTAGTGCCTCTACAACTCTGGTGCCTGCTGTTGTAATGCAAGGCAGGAATTGCAAATGGTACTTGCAGTGCTAGGTGTTGATCTTCCCAGAGAGAGAACAGATGAGAGAATACCAAGTCCTAGGTTTCTTGTAAATCCAAACCCTGTAAGGAGCTTAATGAATTTGAAGATGCAGGCACAGAAGCATCAGTGGGGTGTTAAAAATTTGTTTCTCTACCACTGTCCCTCAGTGGGAATCTTAACATATCCCCCAGGACTGCCATTACAGTTTCTCTCTGCACCTTTCTTTTGAACAGCTTTTTAAATTATATCTTCTCTTGCATTTTCCAGCAGCTCCTTAAAGGTGTTTTTCCCATATTAGATTTGGAAACCATGGGTCTAAGTATGTCTGTTGCTTTGCTATAGGCAACTGTTAATCTTGTTGTTCTTAGATCAGCTTTAAAGTTTAAATAATTTAGAGCTGATTCCTTTTCCATAATAAGAACTTGAAGCAGATTTTTATGGATTGATATGGAAGGCCTTGCAGAAACGAAACTAAACATAAGGTAATGCACTGTTTTTTGAAGGAAAATTAATTTATTTTTTTTTCCTTCCTTCAGGGAGTTTAAAATTGAAGATGGAAAAGCAGTAATTCCACTAGGTATAACAGTCCAAGGAGATGTTCTCATTGTGATCTATCATGCCAGATCAACACTAGGAGGCCGACTACAAGCAAAGGTAATGCTACACTTAAGAGCCTACATTAAGGGTTTGCTTTTTGTAGTTGTAGTTTGGTATCATACTTGTATTTGTGATCTTATTTAAATACATGGCTTTTTTCTATTCTTTGTTCAAAGAAACCTGAGATTTTCATATACTTGTCTCAATATTTAGTGCTGGCCAGCAATTAAATGAATGAAAGGTGGTCTCTATTAACCCCTCTTCTTTGCCTAAATAGGGAAAGGAGAAAGAGGGGCTTAAGGTTTGGAAACTAAACTGCACAGCATTAATGAAACAATGATGAAAAAAGAAATAATGAAATAAATATAAATATATACAAAACCCAATATTGTCCTGCACCCTCCAATAATGCTCATGTCACTACTGAGGCTGCAGGGAAGCCTGAAAGTCGATACATATGGGATGGCATACTTTGGTTAATTTTAGGTCACCTGTCTGGTTTGCTCCTCCTTGCAGGACAGTCACGTGACCCTTTTTTTAAACTTTCATTTCTGGAGCTTGAGAAGTTTAGCAGAACCAAGCGGTAGCCGTGGCTTTGCATACCATTCTCCAGCAGTAGCTATAAATATCAAGTGTTATTAGTTATAGAAGCAGACACTGACTGAAAAACATGCTGTTAATTTCAGCAAGTGCAGTTAAAAGAGACTTGACTGAAAAGTAAAATTAAAAAGAAAATTGGTTCTGTCCTGGCTCAAACCAGGGCAATTTGTGAATTTAGCCTTTTAAAGCCTAATTAAAATGTTCATTCATAGTGCTCTGCATATAGATGCTCTGGTAAGCATTTCTAGAAATTAATTCAATGGAGATAGTTATTGTAGTTGCATGAGAAGCCTGTAGCCAGTTTTCTGAGGCAGTGATTGTTTTCTGCTAAGTTGCACAATAAGCCAGAACTTTTAAATTCTGTACACACAAACTGAAACCAAAGGAAAAATATCACTCAGTAGAAAAGAGGAATTCCAGGGACTGCATATACAAAGCAAGTTAGAAAAATCTGTGGTTGTGTACCCATTTCTAGAGCCACGTTGGGCTTTTTAGGCAGTTTTCCTGCTGGTTTTGTTCTCCTAGGGAGGATGCGTTTCCTTTTTTAATACAGCTGTGGATGCAAAGGTACTGCAAGATCACAAAAAACCCTTGCTAATGAAACCTGTCTTCAGGTTTCTAAAGAAGCAGCAATTTTTTTTATCCAGATGAGTAACACAAATTAAACCTGGAAATCCATTCATATCAGATAAGAAGGAATACTACAAAGTTTAGGGTAACTTGGACTGCAGTGAAAAATAATACAGAAGCTCTTCAGACAGTTTTCATACCTTTGGGGCAAACGAGCATATTTTATGTACCTGGTACTACTGAAGTATTTTTCCCTTTATTTTTTCTACTTTGTGTATTGGAAGATGAGCATCAAATCTTGTCATATTGCAGTGGTTCAAGACTATCTTACTGTTCCAAATGCTATGGGCCAGATCTTCCAGAATATCAGATGGAAAGCTCAGTGAAATTAATCTCTAATGCCCCATAATAGCTAGTGTATGGTTCAAGGTCATCAGTGAAGAAAGCACACAAATGGGGATAATTCAGCCAAAGTTAGCATATAGTCTTTGTGCAGTCTCAGTTTCACTGTTTCTTTAATGTGGTTTCTATGGTATTTATTCACTAATTGGGAAAGATTAGAATTTTCTCATCCATATGCTGTAACACATGATACATCAACAGTGTTTGTGATTATCCTAGTTTGGAGCTTTGATGGAACAATATTCAGTGCATCCTTTGTTTTATGTACTTTAAGTGGCTCACTGAAGCTCTCTACAGAATGCTTGTGGAGATCAACCACATTTCAATATTGCTGTTAAGCCCAGCCCCACAGCTGGGCACTGTGAATGTCTCTCACTTGCTCACAGTTAATTTGAGAGAGGATTTAGTTTTTCTTCCAGGAAATCCCAAGGGATTAAGAAAGCAGATTTAATAGGGCATTCAGGTTTTCATGTGTATTTCAGGGTAGGGATGAGTGGATGAGAGAAACTCTTCAGAATGTCCAGGTCTCTTGTGCTGAATAGCCCACCACTGGACAGAGGACTTAAGATGCAGCCTCACCAGTGGTGCATAGAGGGGAAAGATCATCTCCTTCAGCCTGCTGGCAGCACTTTGCATGTTACTTGACTTCTGGTCGTGATGTTTCATAACTACTCATTTTCAAGGACACCTTCTATAATTTTTTTTTATATATTTACTGGTCTATTACTATATGACTTCCTTTAAGGACTGGCAAGACTATTCCATATGTATTGTAACTAAGACTAGACAATAAATACTGTGAAATTTATCAGCTTGCTATGAATTGTATTTGTATGTGAACAGGAGCTACATGAATCTTGTAAACTAGCATTTTCTGGATCCTCACATGCTGACTAAGCATGGGAAAGTAGTTTTTATTTCAGCAGAAGAAAGAGTTAGGAGAGTTGAATGGCTGTAAGGATTCAGTTTGGAAAAGCCCTGTAATTCTGCCTGGGATGAATGGTTGACTTGAGAGACTGCACAGGAAAAAGCTCCTTTCCTGTCTTAGGAAGTATCCTTTTAAATGTGCTACATTCAAAACTATTCTGAATGGACTACTTTACATATGACAGGTTTCTTGATTAGTGTATTGCACATTGGGTTTTTCTGAGTGTAAGTCATTCAGGAAAGCAATAATGGTCATGCAGTTTGTCTCTTAAACAGAGTCTGGAAATATTTAACAGACCTGGTAGTCTGAGGTTAGTGATGAGAGGTATCTAGTTCAAAGTCTTTTAGTTTGTTTCTGGTAGTAATAAATTTATCAGTGTTCTATTTAAAACAACATTTAAATCTCTCAAAGTATACATGGAATAAAAATGAAATGGAAACAAAAGCCACTTTTAAAATACTGTAATGCTGAAAAGATTTTGCATTTTATTAAAGGCAGAAAACTACTCATGCTGCTTCCCTGTATTTCTTGTTTTCAACAGATGGCTTCAATGAAGATGTTTCAGATTCAGTTCCACACAGGTTTTGTGCCCCGAAATGCCACCACAGTGAAGTTTGCCAAGTATGTTGACACCCTTTTGTAGGAGACTAGAAGTTTTCTTTGAAACTGTGTAATGTGCCAAACCAACATATGGTGGAATAAGGAAACAAGTCAGTGTCGGAACTAGATTACTTTGGTTGCAGTAGAAAGATTATTTCATTTTGTCACCTCAAGGAAACTAGGTTTTGTTCATGATATGACAGAAATGTCTGTACCAAATACCATATTTGAAATATACAGAAAATAAAGAAATACAGCATTTTTTAAGCCTTACACTAAGGGCTTTAAAGTTCTGTCTTGGACTGAATATAATTTGGTTACTCATCAGTATCAAGGATCTACTTGTATGTATCTTTGTAGGTATGATCTGGATGCCTGTGACATACAAGAAAAATATCCAGATTTATTTCAAGTCAATCTGGAAGTAGAGGTGGAGCCCAGAGACAGACCGAGCTGTGAACAGCCACCATGGGATAACATGAATATAAAGGGACTGAACCCCAAGATCCTTTTCTCTACCCGAGAGGAACAACAAGAAATTTTATCAAAATTTGGTAATGAATCTGTTGAAAAATGAGTGAATATGATAAAGTTTCTAGTGTACTTAGTGGGTAAGGCTTCTGTTTCTGACATGGCTTTCAGTGAAAGACATTTAAAAGATGTTTTTTGTAAGTATGACTTGAATTTGTGTTGTATGAAAGAGTATAAATTATCTCCCAGTATTGGATTATAATTGTCCTTATCTCCACTATCATTACATTTACTTGCTTTAAAGCTATGAATATTCTGTTTGCAGGGATTTTAGACATTGGAAGAAGCAAAGCCATTATCATTTCACTTAAAATCATCTGAGCATTCATGACAAATAGTCTTAACTAAAAATATATTTATTGAGGTTATGTATAGCCAAAGGTGTCACTAAATTTCTCAACTCTTCCTAATGTGGTCCAGCAGATGTTTTATTTTTTTTTATATTACAACATTAATGCTATTCAGTATCTTTATTCTTCTCATGGTAGAAGTAATTAGCTTTGACATTTTCTTTAAGGCTCTTAAGCCTTCCCTGTGCTTCCAGGTTAAAAAAGCATGATGGAGATTATTGTGTTGATTTTAGTACACCACACGTGATCTTAGTCTCTACTCTTAATATGGTACATCTGAATTACGATTCTTTTGAAGCAACGTGGTTGCTGCTGTCTTATCTATTTTAGCAGGATATGTTTGGTTTATATTATGATTTAGGTCATTTTCTATTTAACTTAGTTTGTACAGATTTTTAAAATCTTACTGTGAACAAAACTCTCAGCTCACTAAAGTTAAGTGTTTTGTTGATAATGAGGAGCTGTAAAAATTACGCTTTTTTAGGTCACTTTCATTTTCTGATTAAAAAACGTAAGGGTTTCAAATCCCACTGAAAACATTAAAACTGGCGGGAAGGGAATAGGGCAAGAACAAGTGCTGTGAACTGGTTTTATAGAACTTGCCTTATTAATAATGGTCTTTCATGTATGTTTTCTGAGACAGGCTACTTTTTCATAATTATCTGTAAGATACAACTGAGTTTGTGGAAGGAGGGTGAAAAAATGCACTACCAGTTTGGCATTTAGATTTAGACAAATATCTTTCAACCATTTATCCCATTCTTTTTAAACAGTGGATGAACACGTATTAATTTAGGGGTCTTACTTGCCTTGAGGAAACCAAGTTTGGGAAATGATACAGCAGTAGCTAATTCAGCCCAACTCAGTCTTGCACAAGAGTCACTTTATGTTGGATTTCAGTAAAGTAAGAAATGTAAGAAGTAATTCATTGTACCACACAATGTATTTAAATTCTCTGAGATGTTTGATAACAACTCAGTGTTCTTTTCTGGCCTTCTACTCCAGCTTTTTTTCTGTAGCTTCATTTGCTCTTTTCTGATGTTCAGCTCCTTTTTGCAGATGATGTTCATAGCTCTTACATATTTTAGGGCTGGTTGGTGTGAGTTTTTAATTACATTTTCCTACAAATGCAAGTAGAATGCTTAAGTGTTTTGCGCTGAGTCTGATGTAATTTAATGTTATAGTTTAAAATAGTCTTGCCAGCTTTTGCAGTTGAGACAAGGTTAATGCTGCTAATTTCAAATGGGGAGTGGGTGCAGAAACTTTCCTTTGCAGAAGAAGAGATAGTTTGGGACACTTGTCTTGCTATAGTGGTTAATCTGCAAGTCTAATTCCAGCTGCTAATTCCAGTGACCAGAATTGTTTTAGGAGTTTTTCTCAAAGATTTTGGCTTAAAAATTTATTTTCTAGGGAAACCAGAGCTGCCTAGACAACCAGGTTCAACTGCACAATATGAAGCAGAAGCATCACAGCTGGAGCAATCTTCAGAAAGTGCTCATACTGAGACAGAATCCCCACAAAGCAGTAGTACTGAAGCAAATAACTTCTTTCATTCTCTGGACTGGAAAGGTACAGGCTTTCCTCTGAAGTAACTATTTGTTGTATGTTTGTTATCCTGCACACATTTCAGTGAGTGCTTTAGCCTCCTTATGCAGCAAAAGTCACTATGTCACCAGACCCTGAGAAAAATGTATTTAAAGAGTGGGTTCTGCAGTTTAACATGCGATCATTCCACTACGTTTGAATAAACAAAGTGATGTTTTTTGGTATTGTATGCAACTGTCCAGGTTTCAGCAGGGATAGCTATTTTTCTTCTTAGTAGCTAGAATAGTCGTGCGTCTTGGATTTAGAATGGGATTTGGTATGAGAATAATGTTAATACATTGGTGTTCTAATGGAGAATCAAGGACTTTCCAACTCCCTGCGCTTTGCATGCGGGTGCACAAGAAGCTCGGAGGGAGCACAGCCAAAGCAACGGGTCTGAATTAGCTGTATCATGCAACATCACACTAAGTATATAGATGAAGGTTGGCAAGGAAGTTTTTTCTTTCTTCTTGGATTTTGTCATGTTCTCTTCTCCAAGTTTACTAGCCAGGGGCTGACTGGACATTGGTCAGTAGGCAGTGAGCAGTTACTCTGTGCATAGCTTGTTTGTATATTCCACTATTTTTATTAAATTTTACCTTTATTTAACATTAACACCTCTTTTCTCAATCCACAAGGTTCTTTACCTTTCCAGTTGTCTCCCCCACTTCCCAGGAGGATGGGGGAGAGTGAGCAAATGGCTGGTATTTAACAACCTGCCAGGTTAAAACCACAACAACTTAAATGCTGAGGTCTGCAAGGAAGCCTTTGCATTCCCACAGCCCCACTTAGGATGACTGAGGTAGTAGACTAGCCAGTGGAGTCTACATCAGTATGTACTGGCTGAGTAAATGTGACTTTATAGTTCAAGTCTAAGTCCTTTCTGGGTTCTGATTTTTTTGGCAAAAATGTCAGTAACTGCTTATGCTGTTTATTGGATGCTATTATTGAGTGGAGCAGCAGTTACTGAGTGATCTTCTAAGCCATAAGTGTTACAATGTCCTGAGGTGAATGTCCAAGTCAGTCTCATACTGAAAAACAAAAGTCTAGTTGGCAGATGAATTCTGGTTATCTAAAGCTGTTATTTCTTTTCATTCAAGAAGGAAAAACTCTGGAAAGTGGAATAGAGGACAGTTCATCTAAAAATGATTGTGTTCAACTCTCTGAAGACAGGGAGGAGAGTGATCCTTCAGATGAGGAATTCCCTACATTTCCAGGTGAAGAAAGTGCAGTAATTACTGATGAAAAAGACTCTACTACTCCAGAAGGAGAGTTGCTTTTTGAAGCCAATTTTGAAGCTCCATCTGCACAGTCACAAAAATCTCTCGATGAAGAGAATGTGGACTTACTGGGACTAGACTCTGATATTTCACCAGAACAGAAACAACCTGTCTCAGAAATAAACTCTTCGTCAAGTAATGCAGACTTGTTGAACAATCTCTTTGTGGGTAATGCATCACAGATTTCAGAAGGGCCCACTGGAGATCTTCTTGGACAAGGAACAGATTTCTTTTTCAGCAGTCAGTGTCCATCTGCTTCTCAGGGTACACCTTCAGCAGCAGCCACCGTGTCTTCAGGTATGTAAATTTAATTGTAAACTTAATTATCTGTGGCTCGCCAATAGATAAAAACAGCTGCTTACGTTGTGCTTAGAAAACGAATACCACATTTTGATTTGTACATTGAAGCCGTGTTCGTCTGTAGCAAGAGTCTGCACAGAACAGATGTTTTTACTGCATTAAAGAGACAAATTGCTGTGTGTTATCCAGGTATTTTATGTTGTCAATATTCTATTAGCTTTAAACCATGTAAATAGAAAAGTATCAAATTTTGACTTTAAAGAAAACTGGATTCTTAAAGAAGCTGTAGCTTTCACATGCCAATGTTATATGCTAGATCATTTTCTAAATCTTTATGTAAGTAACATAACATGCTAAGGTGTGGAAGTGTAGTAATTTAGTGTTTTCTTGCTCTTTGTGTGAAGTGATAGCATTAGACATGGTACAGAGCTGTGCTGCTTAGGTCAAAAGTTTGTGTGGGATTTTTGAGTGTTAATCATGTAAGATGGCTAGGCCACTGGAAATCCTGTAGATTATTGTTCAACCAGTAGGATAATGATACTGCTAAATGGTGTTTTCTTACTGGTTTTGATGATTATGTTGAATAATCCTGAAAATATGTTACAGACTGGTATTTATTTGGTATTTAAAACAAACTGTTTTAATTCAGAGGTTCTGTTCCTCTTACCAATGAATAGTTAGCTCTTTGTCACATGAGTAAACTTGTGGGAATAGCAATTCTCTGCCTGATTTTTACAGTAAGATTTTTTGGGAATTAGTCAAACCTTGTAATAGTTTCCCAGATTAACTTGTTGCATAAAGATGCACTTGGGCTAAAACCTTTAATCTACGCACGGGTGTCAGAGTGTTATGGGCTTCTAACGACCCCCGTACTGGATTTCCAACACCACAGTGTTACCAGCCAATAGCCCCCCTGGCATTGGCTTGTGACAACGTGCAAAGTGGTTTTGTAGAGCATTTAGTCTACTTAACATCTGTTTGAAGCAGTTCAGTGCTGAACTTTGTTACTGTGCTCAATGAGGAGTCGCTTAATTTACCATTTTTGCATAGGCAGGAATCTATAAAAGAGAAGGTCTGTTAATTTATCTTTAACTGTGCCATTCTTATATCTGCTCTATAAAACAGCTGGGCAGTAGTCAATGTATGTATCTCATTCTACTTTTGAATTAGATAAGAGAAGGATAATTGCAGAAGTGAGAACATTTGGCCACTGTTATATTTCAGATTGCATACCAAACTTCGACTTGAGTTTTTGTGTATATGCAATGGTATAGCAAGATAGCCTGATGATAATCCAGGGTTTGTTTTCTGAAGTGTTGCTGACTCCTGTACAATGTGGTCATCACCTCAGGATGTGCTGTGGCACTATGGTGAGATTACTCCTTTTCTTCAGTTTCTCAGTCAATCTAGCAGGAGTCCCTGGATTTTTGAGGATCTTGACCCTAGAGGGCAGCAGAAACGGGAAGATCTGAAGCCATGATTCCAGCTGACTGTCACATGTTAACTCATGCTGACTATAAATACACTCCCAATTAGTTCTTTTCTTCACTGTGATCACTAGAGACCTGTTGAAAGCCTTGCTTCTCTTGGTTTTCATTCTTGAATTGGCGTGCTTTCTGACTCAGAGTCACCAATGCCTTCAAGTCAAAGAGGTAGTATGACTGTTTTGTTTCATTTGATTTTTCCTTTTAGTAGCTTAATAGTTTGTTTTGTCTAAATTATTTGGAAGTTTGGCATTATAGAGCGTTTAACAAATGTAATTCTGCTTGTATGAGATGATCACTCAAATTTAAGGTATGTCTTACATGGGTGAAACTAACAATGTTACTGAATGTATGTAGCCTTGCTAAAGATTAGTTTGAGGACATTGCTGTTCATATTGTCTATGGCTGAAATACTTTTTGTACCAACATGAAAGTACAGATGCCTAGAGGAAGGCACAGATGCTGACTCTGCTGTGAAAAATTCTCAGAAGGTTGCTACAGTTAACAACATGAACTTCACTTTTTGTCTGTGCCCTCAGAAGAGACAGACTTTTTCAACTTTGTTTATTCCAAAATTTGTCATATAATGACTTTGCATTCTTCTTTTCTAGCTGATCCTTTTGACCCATTCACAATGTCATCAAGCTCAGAAAATCAAGCCATGTCTGGTCCAGACCTCTTTGGGGACTTTCTTAGTCCAAGCTCAACATCTACAGCTCATACAGTTCCTTCTACTCAGAGTTCACTTCCACCTTCTTCCAGCTCAGATTTCTTAAATTTAGGTAAGTATTCTTTTTGTGTTCTGTTTCTCAGTGTTTCTCCTGCTCTGTGCACTTGTCTTTCAGCTTAGTCAAGGTGGATTAGTGTCTTAATGGATCCCTGTGTTGTTACTGCTGTTTTAATTAGCTCTGTGTTCTGGAAATGCAGATACAAATGCACCAAATGGCAAGGGTTTATCTGTATGTCATGCTAATATTTATGATGTGAGAGGATTTCTAGGTGTTGCTAACCTTCTGTAAGGACCTGAAGTTTCTTCTGAGAGCTCTTAGAACTGAGGGTACACAAACATCTACAGACTTCTTTTCTAGATGGTAGAATGCTATTTTGATTGCATTCAGATTGCGATGATTTTCTGGAAGCCCTGGATAAGAAATTACCAAATCAAGTTACAGTGCAGCCAGTTCTTAAAATGCAAGCTGAGGCTAGCTTGGACCTTCTTGACCTGAATGCATTCTGTTAATATACTTATAGAGTATATTATGTAATACTCTAATCTTATTTGTTTCATTTAATTTCTCTGATGTATTCTTGGTGAAGCCCTTTCCTCATGCTTTTATTTAAAAATGGATTCATCTTTAATCAAAAGGATTTGCAGTAAGTTCCATCTTCCTGTATCTCCATCCTATGCACATTATTTCCAAAGTATTACTAAATAAAGCTTCTAAGCATGTTCATTCTTTAAAGACAAACATACCCTTGCAAAAATGGTGCCATGGTAGAGCCAGAAATGTTGCTTTGTAAATCTGCATTTCAAAGATAAATATGGATTAATCTCCATAGGAATAGGAGTTGTGGTCAGTCTGTACCTGCTACTCTTTCATCCCCACATTTTTCTCCTGCTCTTGAAAGATATTCCTTCAAGAATTTGGGTCTCCATAGGGAACAGTGTTTCAGGAACAGGCTGCCCTGATGGGTGGGTCCCCAGGGACCAGAAGCCTGCTGCTGCGTGGGCTCCTCTCCATGCACTGCAGTGTCATCCAGGTCATGTCCACCTATGTGGGGTCCTCAACAAACTGCAGTGTGAATATTTGATCCACTGTGGTCTTCTTATTGGGCTGCAGGGGAATCCCTGCTTTGCCACCTGGAGCATCTCCTCCCTCTTGTCCACTGACCTTGGTGTCTGCAGGGCTGTTTCTCTCACTTTTCTCACTCCTCTAAAAACTGCTGTGCAGCATTTTTTAGCCTTTCTTAATGTGTATTTTACCAGAGGTGCGATTATTGTGCTTGCGAGGCTCAGCAGTGTCCTTTGGTGGGTCTGTTGGAGCTGGCTGTGTCCAGCATGGAACAGTCCAGTCAGTCCTCTCTTCACAAAGGCCACCTCTGCAGGCCCCCACTTATAAAGTGGAAGTAGTTAGGAATGGTGGTATCACATTCCTCACTTTGAATCCAGGAGTATTTTCTTCCCAGAGCTTACTGCTTATAGTTTCGAGTTGCCTGTCCATGTTGGACAATCACTCCAGTGGACTGTCTGGGTTGGACAGCAGTTGGAGTAATTGCCTGGCCAATATGAGGGCTTCCTTCTTGAAATAAAAGGCTAGCCATCTGATTGCTTTCTCTACCATGTATTTAAGCATAATATTTAATCTGTGGTTGATTCTGCTGCAAAGACCCCCCCTTGCTGCTTCCTTTCCAACATTTTCATTCTGTCCTATGGATGCAATAGCAGCTGTATGTTATAGTTCTGTACCTGTATAGTTGCTAGTTTTATGCCACTTTTAGTTATGACACTATTGCTGTCACTGCATGAAGCTACCAAACATATTGTTGTGAGGGTTTTTTTCTGTTCAATAGAAGATTTGATCAGTTCTGATCTATGGATCATCATCGTTAGCCAAGATCTATCTTGCTCCTGAGGAAGGGGCCACTGGAAACTGTCTAGTTTACCTGCTCAAAGCAGGGCCAAGTAGAGTAGTTTTCTGCCCAGGACCATGTCCTTGCTGATTTTTCATTCTTTCTGAGGATGCAGACTCTACAACCTCTAAGAGGCAACCTGTGCCAATGTTTGACTACTCTCACAGAAAACTTCAGTTTAAATGGGGTTTCCTGTGCTTCAGTTTGTACTCATTGTGTCTTGTCCTTCCTCTGGGCAGTGCTGAGAAGAGTCTGGCTCAATCATCTGTATTTCTTCCCATTAAATATTTATACACATTGATTGTCCACCCCCAGTTCTTCTCCAGGTTAAACAATAGCAACACCTTCAGCCTGTTCTTATATCAGATGTATTGAAATCCCTGCGTGACAGGGAACCCTATTATGTACTATTCACAAGGAGACCACTATCAGTGTTCATCTGTTAGCAACATTGGAGCAAGTAGGGAAGAGAAAGAAAAAAATATTTTGACATTTGACTTCTCTGTGCCTATTGTTTTATGCTTACTCTTTCTGGTCTTGGTTGTTAACTTGCACACTGGTAAGTGCATTGGTGTTCCTGCTGTTTTAATGTAGTTTCTGGAGCATTCTATCAACATAGGGAAAATAACACTTAAAATGTAGCTAATTTATCTTCAGTCCACTATACTGGGATTTCCCAGTATTTCTGTTGGTATGCTTGCTCCACTATGGAAGTGGAGGAATTGGGGTAACGGGTTATGCTTATTTATGTTTAACTTTCAAGTGAGAGCTTTTCTATGTGTTCAGCTGAGATGAAGTATGTATTTGAACCTTTAGCATTCCATCCAGTCTCAGGTATCCATTCTAGCAAGGACATGAAGAATATTCATAGCTGTAATGCTTTTAATATGGATGTGTGAGTGAAAGCACATTGTAACTAATAACCAGAGAAGAAAGGGCAACTGAAAGTGTTCTCAAATTACATATTTGGAAGAATTGTGTTGAGAGAGCAGAAGTATAAATGAGGTCATTAAAGTAAGAACAATTTTAAACTCACTAAAAATAAATTGGTAGTAGTGTCAGTGTTAATTCAAAGTAAACTGCAGCAATGAGATATGGTGAATCTACTGTTGGAGCAGTAACAAATGTCGAGAATTAAATTTTAGTGATGAATAAGCTTTCAGCAGTAGTAAATGACTACTAAATCTTGACAGAGACCAGGAGAAAAGTTGTTTCAGTAAACACAAATCAAAGAATTAGAATTTTAGGCTTGCATTTTGCCATGTGGCTTGAAATTTAAAATCATAGTAGTTATAAAATATTTCAGTTTGTAGAAAAGGAAGTTCTTAAAAAATACCTGGTCCATTAAGGCATTCTGTCCTGCCATACAAGAATATTGAGCAGTTGCTTCTACAATGGCAGTGTGTTAACAAGGAAGTATTCTAAGAAAAGCTATAGTAATTCAGTATAGAAATTCAGCAGAGAAGCTAGTAGGTGAGTTGACTGTTCACCTGTTCAGCATTGATACCCTGCTCTTAATGGCCACAGTTGCAAAAACAAGCTATCATCACTAGCTGGAGTGCTCAGATTTCCTTAGTATCTGTTCAGTCAGCATTTTTGAGCCTGAATTGGTTTATTTGGATGTGCAAGTAGAAGGTTGTTGCTAATACAAGTTAGGAATATAGTTAAGTGCAAATGAACTGGTCTGATAAAAAGATAGCAGGAGATGTGGAAGGTGATCAGAAGAAACCTGAGTAACCAGTGTAGTGTTCTCCTGAGTAAAAGTTAGTTTCTGTGACTGGTCACAAAAGCTTTAGACAAGGTTAAAAAACATTGCATCATACTAAACCAGCCTCTTGGTTCACAGAAAATCCTGTTGTCCTGTGTGATTAAAGGATTTCCTGTAGTGATGACAAGTTAAATAAAGAAAACCTCATGTGAAGTTGTGTATACCACAGCCTGTAAACCTGTAAACCTCAGGCTTCTAATTTTGGGAAGCTGGAAAGTGTGATCTGATTACCACCAACTTATTATGGTGTCTTAGCTTGGTTTGAGCAGCGTTAGTAGTGTTAATAAAGAACTATGCCCTGACCTCCAGTAGCTTACTGCTTTATTGCTAAAGATTGTAAATATGCACATTGACAAAGAACTTAAGGGACAAGTAGGTATCTGTCTGCTTGTCCATGATCTCAGTGTCTTCAGCATTTTGAGAATATTTATCTATGCTTCATGTTGTACCCTTTCTTCTTTACCTTAATGTGTCTGCATGAACTTCAGTGTGCTAGGTCACTAAACCAAAGGATTCAGAATGTGGTCTCATACAGCTTCAGAGTATGTAGAAGTCAGAGTATCATGTTGGTATCACTATTTTTTGATGTTAAAATCTATTGTAATAGCCAAGTTGTACAACTGGAAATAATACAGCGTAAGAATAAACGGTTCCAGGAGGTGACTAATCATCTGTTAACTATGTTGCACATTGTACTCCTTTGTTTCAGATTTTTCTGATTAAAGTGTAGTAGACATATGAGCTTGTTTTATTCATAGTGGATTTACTGCTGTACATAGCAGTAGGCTACTCCCTACTTTGTTCAGGGCAGGGGAGGTGATGAACTTGACTGCTCTTAACCAGTAATTACAAAACACCTGGTTCCTATAGTGTGCTCTCCGTCTTTCAAATGCATTCAGCTGTACTTTATTCTTATTTTTCTCAACTTGGTTTTATCATGGTTCCAGTTAATGTTTCAAGGTCCAGTTAATGTTTTGGAGTGGCACATGGTACATCCAATGTCTAAACTGATGCACAGATGCTTTCAGATACTTTCATATTTATAACCAGTGGCACTGCTGTGTAGTACATAAGTAGGGTCCTAAGTACTGCTGCATACTGCTTTTCCTGTGGATTCAGAGGCAGAGAGATAAATCTTGAGTCCGGAGAAAGAGCTGAAAATGGTACCATACCTTCAGAAGACTTTGGCTGTTATTTTGTGCATTGTATTGTGATGTTTTACTTTGTGTGCATAATTGCTGTAATACAGGCTCTTGACAGACATTTGTTGCTGAGATCTTGGTATGTTCTCTCTGCAAGTGTAAGATGTTAAGTATAAATAAAATTAGTGGATTGAGGTTGTGAAGGAGATACTTGCTTCAAATTATTTCCTTAAATAAAATTTTCTTCTGTGATACAATACCAACATTCAAAATGTCAAATGGAGAAGTTGAGAGAGTGATGTAGTAGTTGAAACATCAAAAGTATCAATATTTTTGTAAGGATGGCTGGGTTAGTTTTCCAAGCTCTAGGTCTTTGAAATATCTTGGAGCACCACTAAACATACTGGTTTTGCTGAAATATCACCTGCCTGTAGCACTGACTGTTGTGATAGCATTGAAGGGGTAGTTATATTCAAAAGCTGTCCTCTCTCAACTGTGAGTCGTGACAAGCTGTGCTCACAGGGAGTGCACAGAGCTGGTGTGGAGTTCTCAGTGTTCCTTACCTAGCACCTACCTATGTGTTTCTGGGGCTCACCTCCTACTGTCTGAGAAAGGAAGAGTAATTTACAAGCATCAAGAGTGGCAGCTATACTGGATGTGACACTTTATAGAAGTTAGTGGAATCACCCTTGTGTCCTTTTAAATGCCACCTTTTAATTGTCTGCTTTCAGTTGGCTTTAGTGGTTTTGTTTTGCATGTAGAAAAGTGGCTTGTATCAATGGAGCTAGTGATTCTCAGTCCTTTCCCAGAAGAGATAATTCTTCCTGAATCTGGCTCTTTAATTACATGCATTCATGTCTTGAACCCAAAAGGGCTCTTAGTTTCTCAAAAGCTCCCTTTGTCGCACAAGGCCTGGGTTAGGCAGACCTGCAGTTTGAAATGACCTGGCTCCACCAGTGTGGTACTAGGACTGCTGAGTGATATCTAGCACCATTTTACAAAGCTCTCCTGCTTTCTGGTTACCTGCTGTGTTGTCAGGAACAGAAGTGTGTCCTGAAGCCATCCCATAGCTAGTCCTTTTGCCCAGGAGACCTAAGCTGCTAAACCCACAGCATGACCTGTGCTTGAAAATATCTTTTCTATGAAGTGCTTCAGATACTTGAAATCAGCTGAAGGAATTCTAGTAGTAAAACCCTTCTGAGTCCTGTTTAAGACTGCATGACCATATTATGGAAAAATGTAGGCAAGCCATGTAGTTGGCCATTGTAGCTGGCAACATGGTACACAGTTCTGTTGTCACTGGCAAAATACCCATTAATATGATGTTTTTCTTAAAAGAATAATCAAAATATCTTTTTTCTTCTGTAGGGAATTTGACACCAGAGCCACCTAAAGTATCATCTTCTACAAGCCAGCCAGACCTCTTAGGTGGATGGGATGCTTGGGCAGATACCTCAGCAACCAGCAATGTAGCATCACCACAGTTGAAGCCTCTTTTTGAAGGTAGTATGAAATTAAATTATTCCATTAGAGGGAATAAGGCCAACTCCAGGATTGGTCAGTTTCGTTACCTGCAGCTATTGCACATATTTTCATGCCTTTTTTTGCTTTGTTGCTGAAAGGACTCCATCCTCTTGTGCTTCAATGCCCCTTTAGTAAGGCACTTAGATTAAGTTCAAGGAGGAGACAAATAGTTTCAGTTGTCTGTGGTAATTCCTATTCCTGTCATGGTAAAAGATGTCATGGAGCAGAATGCTGGAGAGCTTTACACAAGGTGTTGTGGAAATGGTGTGTGTGTTTATTCTCTCAATTTCCAAATATACCAAGTACATGATACATCTTATTATACAGGTCAGGCTTTTACCACAGGGAGCCAGTCCAGTGTGTCTTCAGGTCTGTCGTTCAGCCAGGCTAAACCTCAGAACTTCGATCCTTTTGCTGATCTTGCCAATCTTGGATCTGCTCTTCCAGGTAAGATCTTTCTTTTAAGAGATTATACTAATGCCTCTATGGTTTGATTTCCTTCTTATGCCAATATGTGTAACTTACAGCATATATGGAGGAAAATATTCCCTTTTAATTGTTGACAACTAGCTTGAGACAGTTGCTGAAAGCAGAAAAGTAACAAGAAAAGATTGAATCTTCAGAGATAATGTGAAAGATCCTGAGTATAAAACAGTATAAATACTTAATGCTTCAGAATTTAGTTGAGAAGGTAAGAGAAACCAGGGTTTATTGCTTGAGTAACTGAGCATGGAGTTTCTTATCTAGCATCGACTGATAATCTGCTGTGAAGGATATGAAAGTAAAATGGAAGCTGGATTAATTTTTTTGCTAGGTCCAAAGTGACAGTTGTTTTTCTTTTTAGTTCAGCACTTTTCTATGAATTCCATAGGCCTTCATAGCTCTGCTACCCAAATCTATCATGTTTGTAAGATTAGCACAAATCAGGCCCATACTTGTACACAGTTACTATGAGCATTATGAATGTTTGTCAGTTTGCAGTGGTGTGCACAAGATGTTATAGTAGGTGTGATACATTGCAGAAGTACACTTGTCCCACTTGCCCCAAACTCAGGAACTAGCCCTGCAGTGTTCTCAAACAGCAAGAAAACAAAGGGCAATAAAAAGAGCTGAGATCCCTTCATTTCAGGACCCACTGCCATATGAAATGGCTGATTTCTAGCTGTTAAATGTGGCTAGCTGCCAAGATTCCAAGGATCAGTTTGGAGCAGCAGCTGAGCTGCTGAACTGCAGAAGTGTGCTTTTTGCTTAGCTTGGAGCTGATAGAGGTTTTATGCTGTTGCCTTGGCAGGTAGCATTATGTATTAAATTGAGAACCCTCTTGGTGGAATTATCTTATATAAGCACAAGGTAACATACAGTATTTGACTTATTTATCTTGCCTGTGCATAATTATTTTCAAAATTCTAGTGTTGAAGCAGCACTGATAAGGCTGCCCTGGAGTAAACAATTGACAAAAAATTTCTAATTTAATAATTCAGGTTAATATCAACTGGTTAAATCTATAGATAGTATGACAATTAAAAAAATCAATGTATTTTGGCTGGGAGATTCAGGTATGTACTGAAGCAGTGTAAGAAATTGTACTAATTTTAGTAGGATTTAAATTAATTCATTAGTCTTTAACAGGAAAAATGACTCAGTTTAAAAGTAGCCAGGTGTCACTGTACTAGTTAACCTTCTCAGGCTTCAACTGAATTTTCAAGAAGTTCTGACAAGGCATTGAATTTTTTGTAGGAGTTCTTTTGGCCTTCATATACAAGTTATTATTCTGGAAGAAAAGTTATGAGAGTGAAAGCTGCTTAGTTGGCAATGCTTTATAAACAAAGAAGCAATAGCTAAAGGTAATTAGTGGTGTACTAGCCTAGCAGTAGGATACCAATAATGTTCTGTGAAAGTTGGTTTTCTCTTATCTTGTACCAGAAAGTAGGAGGGTGGTGTTGAAAAGTTGCAGCTGATGGTGAGGAGTTAGCTTGTCCTACAGGAAGAGTTCATTGGTCTTGAAGACTGAAATAATGAATGTAGAATGCTTTCAAAGAGGAGTAGTGTGCAAGGTCATGAACTCGTGACTAGTAGCAGAGATATTTTTCTGTAAATTTCACAAGTTAAATTTACTGAAGACTGACTAGTGCGAGACTGGAAACATTCATTTGAAAATATCCTCCGTACGTTACATTTTCTTGATAATATAATCAGTTTTTCAGTGTCCTCTTCATATTAGCAGACATTGAACTGTAGTTAATTGGTAGACAGATCTGCTGTCACTGCTGAATTACTTTCTGGCCTTGCATATGCCTGGCCAATCAGACAAGAGAATGCTTCTGCTAAAACTGACCATTGAGCACTTGAATTTTAAGAGGCTGGAAAACTTTCAGTAGTGGCTGTAGCTCCTGCCTTCTAACTTGTTAATGAGACTCTTGACTTTGTTTCACACGTTTTTCCGCTACACTTTCTCTTGTATAGTAGTATCACTGTAAACTAGTGGTTAAATGTCAAGACCAATCTTACTTGCATCAAACAAGTGACAGATATCCAGCTGAACAACTAATTTAGTATTCATTGTTAGGTTCCTCCAGTGGTGGACTCTCAAGCAGTGGCTTTGGTCAGAAGGCTGCTCCGTCTCAGAAGTTGGGAAATCAGTGGCAGAAGTCTACAAAACCACAAAGTACTTCATGGCAGTCCCAGACTAAATCCAGTACAGCAACTAAACCAAATTACACAGTAAATTTCAGTGTTATTGGAGGACGAGAAGAAAGAGGAGTCAGAACTCTAGGCTTTGGTAAGTTTTCTGAAGGTGCTAATTACAGAATCAGAGAATCATAAAATGTATTGAGTCCTGTAAAGGCTAACAAGTCCAACAAATTCCCTACAGGGACATCTCACACTAGACCACATTGCTCAGAGCCCAGTCAAACCTGACCTTGAATGTCTCCTAAGGATGGGCCCCCCACACCTCTCTAGGCAACCTGTTCCAGTGATCCACCACCCTCATATTAAAGAACTTTTTCCTAATATCCAACATAAATCTACCCTTTTCTAGCTTAAAACCATTACCCCTTGTCCTGTTGTTACATGTCCTTGTGAACAGCTCTTCCCCAGCCTTCTCATTGGCCCCTTCCAGGTATTGAGAGGTTGCTGTAACCTCCTGGAGTCTTCCCTTCTTCGCTGAACAACCCCAACTCCCTCAGCCTGTCTTCATCAGAGAGGTGCTCCAGTCTCGCTAGGGCAGAGTAGAGGGGCAGAATCGCCTCTCTTGTTCTTCTGGCCACACTTTTTATGCAGCTCAGGATGCAGGAGGCCTTCTGGGCTGCAGTTGCACATGGGTGGCTCATGTCTAGCTTTTCATCCGCTAGTACCCCCTTGTCTTTTTCCACAGGGTTGATCTCCAGCATGTCTTTCCCCAGCCTGTATTGATGTCTCTGGTTGCCTGGAGAGGGTGGGCATGGCCTCTTCCCCATTAACCTTCTTGGAAAATTGTGTTTTTCTATTGTGTTGGTAATATAAGTACACATCAGATGCTTCTGTAAGTTGAAGTTGTCTTTATCCCTATCTGGAAACAGGTAACATGATGGAGAGGCAGCGGGCATACGTTGTGGCAAAGGATAGTCTGATTGGTGGACAGGGGGGAAAAATTAAATTAGCTTGATAAAATGTTGCAACAAGGGAACAGATGTTGTGACGCCACATCCTTGAAAACAGGCAGACCTCAACTGAACAAGGACCTGAGAAATTTGACTGTCCCGGTTTTGAGAGGGGATTTGACTGGATGACATCCAGTGGCCTCTTCAGAATTCGGTTATTCTACATCTCTCTGAAATTGATTGGTCTATAGTAACTATTCATGTTGGTATTTTGTGCCTTCATTACTCTGCATAAGTTTCAACTACTTAAACATTAACTACATAGTTTTGTCTAGAGTAGTGGGTATATGGTTACTTGAAAACTGCTGCATGGCAGTTGGAGCTACTTTATAGTGGAAAAATGGAACCATTTCCAAAGTCATTGAATAGGTAGGTGTGTACTCCATCGTATCTACTCCAATTTTTAGAAAAAGGACATGCAAGTATTTAGTCACATGTATGCACATTTGTTCTGCTGGACTACTGAAAGCTTGTCAATGATCCCTTTTATTCCTATCCTTCTGTTAGTCTTGCGGAGTTTAACAAGCAACTGAAGGTATTTCTTGCAGTAATGAGAAATGTCATGGAGATGTTTCCCTCATGAATGTATTTTCCTGTAGAAGTTTTCATTTAATGTTTTTTCCTTTCATAGGTCAAAAGCCAAAAGTTTCAGAAAATGACTTTGAGGATCTCTTATCTAATCAAGGGTTTTCAGCCAAATCTGATAAAAAGGGACCAAAGACTATTGCTGAGATGAGAAAACAAGAAATGTCTAAAGATATGGACCCCTTGAAGCTCAAGGTTAGTTTAATAGTCATTTTAAGTGAAAATATAAGCTTATTATTAGAACTGCTGATACCAGAGCAGAAGAGTACGAAAACTAACAAAGCAAACTCATAAAGCAGAATGAAACTTCATCTGTATTTAATTCATATGACTGTAGAAGTTAGAGTAAACAAGAGTCAGTTGGCAATGAAGAAGCAGTGGCAGTAGCCCAAGAAGTGTATGGATGGGAAGCAGATTGCTATTTCTTTCAGCTAAGTTTGGAGAATTTAAGAACCTGTTTTCTTGTCAGAGTTGATTTCTTGAAGTCAGAATATCTCTAGTGTTCCCAAAGGTCCCGTTAGAAAAGATGTATTTGGTTGATAATACAAAATTGCACTTTAAAAAACAGGTAGGTGAGAATAACTGTCTTCAGCATGACCACTTACTTGCATGTACTGGTTAACAGTTGCTATTACTTTCCTAAGAAATAAAGCAGGAAATCTGGAGATGGACTGTAGAACTAGTCTGTGGGATGTTACCTGATCAGCTGCTCTTACTTTTTTTTATTACTCATTGATAACATCACTTACTATACTTCATATTTTATCCTGGAAGTTTTGTAATCTTTATGATGCTTTAGAAAAGTCTGTAAAAACTTCAGAGGGACACTGAAATCTGTTATCACAAAGTGACTTTCCTGAAGAAAGTATGCACAGCTTGCATAGGTACTTTTTAACATAAATCACCATAAATGGAAATAAATACAAATTTTATTTACCATACTAGTTGCTGATAAAGGGAAGAGATTTTCATATTCTGTAGCAGTGTTCAGTGAAGGCACTGTCACTAATATAGTGGCTTTAATACTGCTGTTGAAGTCTGAAATGACCAGTTACTCAAATCAACTTTCATCGTGGTGGCTGAAAGAGCACTTCAACTTGTGCATTCC